GTTATATTTTATTTAATAATTACAGATTTACAGAAAGTAACTTGTGTAGATTGGTACAGTATCAGCCAATTCAACAACATAGGTAAGATGAAAGCTGTTTATTGGCCCAGCATCCCTTGGTGAAAAATTGAAAAACATATACAGCGTGTGTGGGAGGGGAATTATTTGAACCCCTGCTGATTTTGTATGTTTGCCCACTGATAAGAAATGATCAGTCTATAATTTTAATGGTAGGTTTTTTTAGCAGTGAGAAGTAGAATAACAAAAAAAAAATAATCCAGAAAAATGCATTTCAAAAAAGTTATAAATTGATTTGCATTTTAATGAGTGAAATAAGCATTTGACCCCTTCGCAAAACATGACTTTGTACTTGTTGGCAAAACCCTTGTTGGCAATCACAGAGGTCAGATGTTTCCTGTAGGCCACCAGGTTTGCACACATCTCAGGAAGGATTTTGTCCCACTCCTCTTTGCAGATCCTCTCCAAGTCATTAAGGTCTCGAGGCTGATGTTTGACAGCTCAAACCTTCAGCTCCCTCCACAGATTTTTCTATGGGATTAAGGTCTGGAAACTGGCTAGGCCACTCCAGGACCTTAATGTGCTTCTTGAGCCACTCCTTTGTTTCCTTGGCCGTGTGTTTTGGGTCATTGCATGCTGGAATACCCATCCACGACCCATTTTCAATGCCCTGGCTGAGGGAAGGAGGTTCTCATCCAAGATTTGACTGTACATGGCCCCGCCCACCATCCCTTTGATGTGGTGAAGTTTTCCTGTCCCCTTAGCAGAAAAACACCCCCAAAGTATAATGTTTCCACCTCCATGTTTGACGGTGGGGATGGTGTTCTTGGGGTCATAGGCATCATTCCTCCTCCAAACACGGTGAGTTGAGTTGATACCAAAGAGCTCGATTTTGGTCTCATCTGATCACAAAACTTTCAGCCAGTTCTCCTCTGAATCATTCAGATGTTCATTGGCAAACTTCAGATGGGCCTGTACATGTGCTTTCTTGAGCAGAGGGACCTTGCGGGCGCTGCAGGATTTCAGTCCTTCACAGCATAGCGTGTTACCAATTGTTTTTTTGGTGACTATGGTCCCAGCTGCCTTGAGATCATTGATAAGATCCTCCCGTGTAGTTCTTGGCTGAGTCCTCACCATTCTCATGATCATTGAAACTCTACCAGGTGAGATCTTGCATGGAGACTCAGACCGAGGGAGATTGACAGTTATTTTGTGTTTCTTCCATTTGCGAATAATCGCACCAACTGTTGTCACCTTCTCACCAAGCTGCTTGGCGATAGTCTTGTAGCCCATTCCAGCCTTGTGTAGGTCTACAATCTTGTCCCTGTTATCCTTGGACAGCTCTTTGGTCTTGGCCATGATGGAGAGTTTGGAATCTGATTTGATTGATTGCTTCTGTGGACAGGTGTCTTTTATATAGGTGGCCTGCAAAATGTTTTCAGGATAAACTCCATGATCCCAGAATACCTTCAAATCTTTCTTATATGAAGTATATACTTATTGCAGTCACCATAGATCTGCACAAAACTATTTTTCATCTATTTTCTTTTAGATCTTAGAAATAATCAGGGTCATTTTGAAACTGTATGAACAATGGAAAAACTTTGATGAAAGGAAAGAAATGGCTACAATTCTAAGCAAGATGCCTAAACCAAAACCACCTCCAAATAGGTAAGTTTTCAAAAGATGTTCATTTGAATAGATGATCAATTGTAAAACATTTTAAGAACAATCCATTTGTAGAGAAAATAATTTTAGACTTGGATGCTCCTAGTGAAGTAATCCTTCACTATTCAACCTCCATAGACAGTTGTTGGTAGATTTTGAGAGTCACATGTAGTTTGACTTCTCCCCATTTTATGCTTGAGTTCTTTGGGTTGACTCAGGTAAAGAAGGAGGCAGCTGCATTTTTACAGGCCTCATAGTTCTTATGGTTGTTCCATTGAAATTTGGTATAAATTATAATTTTCCAATGTCATTTGGTTTTGCATTTTTCCGCAGAGGGGAGTATAGATAACAATAAATGGACTGTGTTGACTTATTGTATCTATTCTGCATATTAACCATCAAAGGACGCTACATATCCTCTTCATGACCTGTTTTCCTTGTTACCTTCTGGGAGGAGGCTTTGTGGTATCCAAAGCAGAATATACAGATTCAGTCAGAGTTTCATTCCATACAGCATCAACCCTGTGAACTCTCAAGTTTCCTCTTTCCGCTATGTATTCAAAATGGACAGTGATCGATATATATAATATTAATAAAGTGTATGGGTAGATATAGACTTTCTTTTGAGAGCTGGCAAGAGATTTTCATTTTAATGTGAGCGAGTGTGCCCACAGTAAAAAACGACAATAAAGCTTATCTTAATCTTAAAATCAAATGTGTTTATAGTCATTTTAATAATAAATATGTAATGTAATAATTTCCTGCTTTGTTTCAAACAGTGAAAGTGACCAGGGTCCAAATGGAAGTCAGAATTCTAGCTACAGTCAGTCTTAAGACATTCCAAAGAAATGAACTGTGGACCACTTTGGATTAAGGCACATTGGGATCTTTTCATATGTGGAAGACATGGACAGAAGGTTTCATTGTCTTTTCAGATAGAACACAATGTTTCTATCAAGTGTACAAAAGCTTTTCCTTAAACACACCCCCATTTGAATTGTGATACAAGAACAATCAAAAACTTTGGATATAAATAATGATGTAATTCAGTATGGACAGACTATAGTAAATTTTGTTATTTGAAAGAAATAGTGGTGAGTTAAACAAACTGGGTTGACACAAAGATGGATAACTGTGAATGGATCTTTCTTGCAACTATACTTTTTTTAACTACGGAATACAAGAGATGAGAAGTTGGATTTGAGATCCTAATTTTCTAGGTATATACTTGCCAATGGATGTTTCAAGAATGCACTGCTATAGTAAATGCCTTAGAGAAAAGAGAAAAAAAATTCCTTAAAAAGTATAAAACGTTGCATTCCTCATCTGAAGTTTAAGGAGATACTCTACAATACCGGTAGTTTGCTAGAGGAAATCCAGGATATTCCCAAAGTGCAATATATATAATGAAAATTGTGGCTGTTTTAGGAAAGAATGTGCTTTAGGAAAGAATGTGCTGACGTATTTTGCAATCCAATCAAGTAAAGAATCTAACCTATTTGAGGTTGTAATGGTGGATATGTTGTGTGCTAGAAGTTTGTCTTCTGCTTTCCTTGTTACTAGGAATGACTTGTCTCTTGAGAAAGCAGAAGCAGTTGAGACTATGATTCCATAATAAAATATAAATTACTGTACAAATTAACACAAGAATCATTCAAAGACAGGATGTTCCCTTTTTTAAACTCAAGGGCCATATGCTGTGTTCTTTACTCAAGACTTCCCTACTTAAAAAGGGATTTAGTCTAGAGCCCTGAAATCTTCATGGACTATTTGTTTGGGACCCTAAAATGAGTTAAAAGTAGCCTGTCTTTCAGTCTAAAGTAGCTCTCCCCAACATGATGCCTTCTAGCTGTATTAGATTACTGTTTCCTTCAGACCAACCAACATGGCCATGTTAATGGAGGATTAGGGAGATCAAAGTACAGCACATAGTGAAGGTGCCAGTTGGGAAAGGCTGCTTTAAGATGCCTTTCACCCAAGGGAGCATTATTCTGCCATGATACAAAGCAACATTGGTTGAAAGAGTATCGTCAAATGGTGCTTGTTCTAAAACTTGATCTAAAAGCAGCAGTGCCTGCCTCTACTTGAGATGTCACTGAATTAAGGGTAACCAAAGTGTTTTTGTATGCAAACGCTTGGGCTCTCTGCACTTAAGCGTTGGAAGTTATTTTTTTACAGAGTGTTTGGATACTGACTTACAAAAACAATTGTGAGGATTTTTTTTTAATTTTAGCCTTTTCATGTTCCCTTTTTAGTTTTGCTGATTTTGTTGATGCTGGTCATGTTGTCCCACACATTTGCTAACAGAATTGGTTGAGGCACCACATCTGTTGTATTTTGGAAATTACTTTGCTAACTTGGGGATTTCAACGTTATTTGTAATATGGACTAGCTGCATAGGAATAAAACAATGGAATTTAACAACATTGACTTATTTTATTTCAGAACCATAAGCAATAATTCTTACAAATACTGCATCAGATCATAGGGGCATAGTATACATTTTTAAAAAGTTTTGTCTGGAGTGCCTTATCACAGTTGCAAGTAATGTGTTTCCCTTTTTGCTCTGTGGGTATGAGAAAAGAAACACACACCAAAGGTTGGAAAGTTATTTTCTATATTCAAATGAATAAACAAAATTTTATTAGTTTCATTATCTTAAAGTGGGACATAATGGTTCTTATACCATTCAGCACATAGCACTGTATTGGAAATTCAGTGTTTTCATGTAATCTCTCAGCAATTTTATAGAAGTAGTTTACGTAGAAAGAGATTGTGTCCCTAATCTAAATACTGCATATAAAAACTTATCACAGATACAACACATATGTGCTCTAATCGGTTTCCTCTGCGTGTACAAAAGTGTTTTCTCAATATTATTTCTGCAAATATTTAATATCTAGAGATACTTCAAGGTCAAGAACAATAAGCAGGACTGAGGCTTAATTCCTGAATTATGAAGTTGAAAAAAAAATATAGGTCCCTGGCTAAACATTTTAGTGCCATTTCCCCTAGTTTTGCGTTTAACATTTGTATAGTACATTTTTGTTTCCTGGCCAGAGATACACATAATTTCTCATGAGATGGGCAGCTATAAAAATTTGATTAGCTAACTTAATTCCAATTTATTTTACTTAATATCATTTATTACGAAATATATTGCAATGATCAGTTGTAAGTTTCCTGAATCTGTTTCAATTGATTTTTAAAATTTAAATAGAAAAATTTCCCTGTTAACCAGACTGAACATTTGAAGCATATCTCAGCTTTTTTTTCTTTGTTGGCAAAATAACCAATATCTTAAATGCCTTTTATACCTTGCTGCCCTTTTATTAAATAGAATTAGCTATAGACATCTGCGTTTTCAGAATACATACAAATTGTGCATTCCAGATATCATTTCTTCTTTGAACATTCATACTCCAGCCATTCATTGAAGCCACCAGGGTAATGCTGAACTCTGAAAGCATATAAGACAGTTTCTGTAACATTTCTTATTGCACAAACCGCTTTCAGGAACATTATCCTCTTAAGAGTAGGCTGATCAGAGATGCAGGAGAAATACTCTGGCGTAGTAATTTTATATCAAATAAAGGATGCAATAAAAACATACATAGTATCTTCCTCAAAGAGTAAACAATTTAAAGTTTGAATCACAGTAGTTAAATACTTTTGGATATCAATCAGATAATAAGTAATTTTGAGTAATGGCAAATATAAGAATGTAGAATAAAATGTTTCTTTAGTTGTTTTTAAATGAGACATGCTTAGTACTTGACCATTCTATTTGATTTTGGTTACGGTAAGTATATTAGAATTTTTAAACAGACTCTGGCTTGGAATACTTGAATCCAAACACTGAATATCACAGGGTTACAAACAATATTTTCTCACAGTACTTTCAAGTTTTTCTAATCTTTTTCTAATCAGCTAAGTAAAAGGTTGAATAATGACACCATCTTTAAATTGTAGGGTAAGAATCATCTAGAAGCAGTGTATTTCTGTTTAAAAATGGATATTCCTTAAAATATATTAAACCCAACTGGGAAAGGCGATGCCTATATTAGAAAATAAAATAGTGATGCAAATGTGAGTCGTCACAAAGTTTTAAACACTGAATTATCTTTGTCCTGAATTAACTACATGATGGCACCCATTTTTCTTCTACAAACATGTTTTGGGAAGGCTACAAGACAATTTCTATTACAATGAAATAGTGTAAATGCAAGTTAGTTTTTGTTGGGGCAGATTTGAGCTCTTAGTTCATTTAGTACAGTGTTTCTCAACCTTGACAATTTTAAGGCATGTGGACTTCAACTCCCAGAATTCCACAGCCACATGCCTTAAAATTGTCAAGGTTGAGAAACACTGATTTAGTACATCCAGATGTGTTATTCAGAAACCACCAGACACTATTGGATCAATCTATTCATTGCATTTTGAGAGCAAAATGTTAAAAAATACACTTTCCCTCGATTTGTATTTCTCTTTTAAGTCCATAATATTGTAAAATCAAACTAGAATTAACTCCATTTACAATAACACTACACTGCCTTAAACATATCTTTCCTGAATGTTTTACACTTACCTGCTGAAACCCAATGATTTCGCAACAGCCAGAGCCTGTTTGCTTCTCACCCCAGCAAGACAGGAAAACACTACATGATCCGATTTATAAGGCATATCTTGATTGTATTTCTCTTTAAAATATACTGAGTCCATCTGTAAAGCTTCCATCACTTCTCCCACTGTAAAAAAAATAAACCATCTCAATTGATTTAATTGCTCTTTTTTGTGATGCCCCATTGGCTGAAGTACCATTTCATGTTAAGCCATAAAGCGACCCACTACATATGGCATGCCGTGTGCCACAATGGCAACAAAAGACACGCAAAGTGACATCACAATGCAAATCTTACTCTTTTCTATTTGTATCCCAATGCTGGACACAAGTACACAAGTGACGGCCTGTGTAGTGATGCTTATTTTGTTGCTTGTACCTCTGATTTTTCTAGATGACTATCATAAGGATTGGCCTTCACAAATCCTAGTACAGAAAATACCACACGTAAGATAATTCCATGTTTTCCTCCCCTTAGTATACACTACAGTAAATTGGATTCCTGTTTTTTCCTTGCTCTAAATCACCCAGCAGCAACTCACATGGAATACTGATTGATCCAGGAATTTTTCCATGCTCTGCAATTTCCCATTTTTCTCTAACATCAATAAGTCGGATGGCCTTTGATTCCAACAAATCTCTGAGTTGTTGGTAGGAGACGACACTATGATCCTCAGTTGTGCAAAAGTGGCGAACGAGTTGTCTCTCGTTTTTTGGATCTGTGTAAAAAAATAAAAAAAAGTTAACAACAATAGTAGTACAGATTCTGGCATGATCATCAAAGCACTAATTTCCTTCTAAGTGCTTCTGGGCAACAACACCAGCTAGGGAATCAATGCATTGACCAAGTATTTAAATGGACAAGCAGAGTCCAGATTTGCTCTCTGTGTATTTACACTATAGCAGTTTTCCAGATCATGTGAATTTCATATATTTCTTTCCTCTGCTCAAAAAAGGCAGCTTAGGCTGCATTTTACAACACAAAAGTTGTGTTGGCTTAACCCATGAAACTGATGTATTAAGCCACATGATGGTTGAATACGATAGTCCGGTTCATACACTATTTTAATCAACGTGGTTTGATTTTAGCTTAATCTTTTTGAATTGTAAACCATGGTTTTTGTTTTAGCATACTATGCGAATGTAGTGGAGTCAGAAACTACAGGAAATCATTCCAATTCTCTTGGGAAAGTCTTTGGTACATTTTTATAAAATGAGGAATACCAACTTTTATGACTGCTTTCTCTTATACCATTTGAAGAGCTAAATGCATTCACCTGTGTCTTATGCAACAATCCATGGCTTAGCATGTGAAAACTAGTTTATAGTTGTACTTGTTTCGGTGTATCACTACAGTGTTGATGTAACACTGAAAGTACCGTATCTTTTACCATAGGCCTGCTAGTCAGAAAAAAAATACCAGGAAGATTTTTTTTACAAATGAGGAAGTCAGGCTGAAAAACAGCAGAGAAACTGCCAAACCCACTAATGTAAACTTAAATCTGAACCGATTCCAATGGAAGCTACAAGGGGCCTCAGTCTACCGGGGTAGTCAACCTTGGCTCTTTTATGACTCGTGGACTTCAACTCCCAGAATTCCTGAGCCAGCACATCACAGCTAGCTCAGGAATTCTGGGAGTTGAAGTCCACGAGTCATAAAAGAGCCAAGGTTGACTACCCCTGGTAGACTCTAAATCAGTGTTTCTCAACCTTGACAATTTTAAGGCATGTGGACTTCAACTCCCAGAATTCCACAGCCAGCATTGCTGGCTGTGGAATTCTGGGAGTTGAAGTCCACATGCCTTAAAATTGTCAAGGTTGAGAAACACTGCTCTAAATCCTCGTTCCGTCCGCTTTCCACTGATGACGTTGCTACTAAAGCAATCGAATTCTTTCAAAGCTCAGTATTTTTTCGGGAACAACCAAGTTAAAGCATTTGCCCACCACTTAGCACTGAAGTTAGCAATCAGAAACGAGAACGCCCTCCTACGCTCCGATTCTCCCATTACCGCCGTAGCACTTACAGCCTGAAGGGCAAAGGGGACCAATGCCAGCCTCCGATTCAAATCTATGCAGGACTCTCTCACGGTGGCTCCATGTCAGCTGGCTTATCTTTCGTCCACCGTAGCCGCTTAGCCTTCTTGCAGCCGGCTGCGTAATTAAACCAAACGTTAATTGAACCAGCTGTCTGCAACATCCTTGCATGCTTCCTACTGCTGCAGAACTATCCGCCTCGTTTGAAGGCCACCGCCCAGTTCGGCTGGGCTTCCGGAATATAGTAGGCCAGGCGATTCGCCTGTCTCCTTGGTTGCGCTTTCCTAGGAAGGTGCCTCTCAGCTGGAACAAGAAATACCAGTTGAAAAATCAGGAGTACTGTTCTTTTACTTTCAGGGCTAAATTATTCCTCTGACTGGAGCCCGATTGCTCATCCAAGAAGCCAGTGATTGTTGCAGGACGAATAAGAGTAATCGTATTTCAGAAGGTTGAAGATTCTCTGGACAGTTTCATAAACAAGAAACTAAACCAAATGTGATTTGGAGCATGGTTTGTTAAACTGTAGTTTAGTTGGTATATGACAGCTACCAAATCAGGGTTGCAACAATTCGGGTGACCAGGAAAGGGCAAAAAGGACACAAAATACTCTAGATCTCTGCCAAAGTCTGATTAAGTTACTTTAACCGGAAAATAAATATGGACTTGGAAGAAAATCCAATACAGGAACTAACAGCTGACTTCACAAGAGGCCATAATGTGGCTTGTTTGGATTTGTGTGATTCCAGACATCTTATGATGCAACCCTCCCCCCCCCCAGGAATTAGTAAAGATCGTTTGTTTTTTGCTAAGTATATATAAGAAAGCATCCCATGTAAATTGGCCTATTTTCTATGGAGAATAAATACTAGCTGACCTAAATAAAGCTCCAAACGTATCAATAGTATTATCATTGGTATTATAGTATTATGTATAGTTTTCTTTTATAAACTGGACTGTGATCATAAGCTTTTACGGCAAGGTTTGGGTACTAGAGAATGACTACTCCTGCTGTAGCTAGGGAAAATATAACCTACATGTATACAATTTGTATTCATAAAACTGTTTAACAAACCTTAACTAGTCAAAGATTTCAAATTTCATTAAGCTTTATAAATATATTAGTAGGTTAAGATTCTGTTAGTTCCTCTTGACTGGTTTAAAGAATATTTCAATATTTGGGCCGCCCATATATATATTACTACCACTGAGATTCCAGGCTGACCTTTGGTGCAATAGCATTAACAAGGTTTCTTCTACAGAAATCTTTCAAACTGCATTGCTCTAGCGGAAAGATACATTTTCATAATAAAGTGGGAATTAATTCATGTTGCTCTGCAGGTTCTTTACCAAGGGATTTTGACTATCATTTTCTAAACAGCATTGTACCCACGTTCCGTCCCTCCCTGGGTAGATGGATGGATGGATATTCATAATACTATGAAAGTTTTTTAACAGCTATCTGGGTGGTATATATTGATTTTAGATGTTTATATGCAAGACATATTACTGTTTCAAACGTAACCTGGTCCCAAGCTATGAAGGGCTTTAAAGGTGACAGCTCCTTGAATTGCACCCAGAAGCAAATCGGCACCTAATGCAGCTCCTGCAGGAGAGGTGATACATATGCACACCAAGGTCTACGCAAAACCATGTGGGCTGCTGCATTTTGCACCAACTGGACCTTCTGGGTGTTTTTCAGGGGCAGCCCCATGTACAGCACGTTGCAATAGTCAAGACGGGAGGTGACTAGGGCACGAGTGTTGGTCCAGGAAAGGGTGTAACTGCCGCACAACCCACAGTTGTGCAAAGGCCCTCCTGGCTGTGATTGCCACCTGCTCTTTGAGCAGGAGTCGTGAGTCCAGGAGAATCCCCAGATTAAGCACAGGGTCTGTTTGGGGCAGTGCCACCCCATCCAAGACCAAAGGTGGCAATTCTCCATGGGCCAAAGAACCCCTAACTCAGAGCCATTTGGTCTTGCAAAAGTTCAGTTTCAACCTGTTGCCCCCCATCCAGCCCCTAACAGCCTCCAGGCACTACGAGAGGGAGGTTATGGCATGGCATCGCTTAACCCACCATGGATTGAGATATACAGTTGGGTATCATCAGCATATCAATGATATCTCAGTCCATGGTGATGGATGATCTCACTCAATGGCTTCATGTAGGTGTCGAATAGGAGCAGAGAGAGCACCAACTCCTGCAGGACCCTGCAAAGCAGTGGGTGAGGGCTGGATCTCTCACTTCCTATTAACACCAAATGAGAGTGGCCATAGAGGAAGGAAGTGAATCAGGATAGCATAGAGCTCCCCACTCCCAACCCCCAAAGCCATTCCAGAAGGATGGTATCAATGGTATCAAAAGCCACCGAGCGGTCAAGTAGAACAAGGATGGAGGCACTACCCCCAATCCGGTCCTGCTAGAGATTATCAAAAAGTGTGACCAATGCCGTTTCTGTCCCATATCCAGGTCTGAATCCTGACTGGAAGGGGTCTAGATATTCTGTTTCATCCAGAAACCTCTGGAGCTGCCATGCAACCACCTTCTCAACCACCTTCCCCAAAAAGGGAAGATTGAAGACAGGTTGAAAATTATCCAACAGGGTAGAATTCAGCGATGGCTTCCTTAGAAGAGGGCGGACCACACTTGAAGTTAACACTTCAATCTGTACAATATACAGCATACATTACCTTCAGATTGATATTTAAGGATTGGTGTCAAGCATTTTCTCTTTTTCATATAAACTGACCCTATTTCAGAAGTGGCTTTTTTTCATCCCAAGAAGTGCATTTAAAATAAACGTAACACTGATTTCATTTTTTAAATAAAGCAAAGCTCAACCATATTTCTAAATGGAAAGTATAATAAATTTAAGCTGGCATACAAACTGGTTCTCTAGTTGCTGGCTGTCAGCTTGGCTATATGACATCCTTTTGTATAGCAGTTTCAAAATGATAGTATATTCCAGTGATGGCGAACCTTTTAGAGACCGAGTGCCCAAACTGCAACCCAAAATCTACTTATGCATCATCGAGTGCCGGGTGGGCGTGGCCCATTGGCTGGGCGTGGCTGCAGTGGTAATGGCAGACTGGATGGGACTAAAAAGTTCAATCAATTCCAACTTTGCAAGAACTTTTTTTTTCCCGCGAGAAGTTGAAATTGACTGATTGATTGAACCTTTTTTTTTTTTTTTGCACACAGCAACGGAGGCCTAAAGCGAAAAGGTTTTATAAAACCCAGCTGAAAGCCTAGGATTGGGGCGATGGCGCGCGTGCCCACAGAGAGGGCTCTGAGTGCCGCCTCTGGCACCCGTGCCATAGGTTCGCCACCACTATATTCATTTAAGATATGAGTATAAATGGCACCTAGTCATGATAATGGTTCTTCCAGGGTCAGAGGCAGGACCTGAATGCCAATTACAAATGATGAACTCTGGACTTTTAGGAGCATCCAATTGGCCACTGTTTCAAATGGCACGATAATCTAGATAGGCATGCAATTTAACCTAGGATAGCTCTTAAATTCTTACAGACAGCCATTCTCTGTTCAATGCATTCCTACAGTCTACAGTTTTGTTCCACTTGAAAGGGGATTTTGGCAGATATCAAAGGCTTCTTTCCCCCTTTACGAGCCGAATGGAGAGAAAAAAGAAGGGGAGACAAAAAGAGTAGTTGGTTTCCCCCTCCAATTTCACCTGTGAACCGCAATGTCTGCTCTATGGGGGAGCTTGCCCTCCCTAAGCCAGATAGGCAGCCTGACCTGCAGATCAGCTTTTTTACATTTCTCTTGGGAGCTGCCAGGTAAGGGTGTGTGCGTGCGTGCGTGCGTGTGCAGGGCCACAGCAGGCGGTGTGGAAAGCTGTGGAAGAAAACCACACTTCTGCATTAAAAAAAGCAGTTTTTTTTCCCATCTGCAAAACGTGGAGGTGGCTGGGATGCCTAACACAGATTAAAGGGACCTTCTCCTTTGGAAACCCACTTGGGCATGAAAGTTGGGGCGACGCATTGCGCCCGGAGATCGAATTTCTGCTCGGCCTCGCTCGGAAGCCCCAATCCTTGGGAATTGAACGGCAAATAGCGACACCACACACACACACCCCGACCCTAACGCGCCTAGTAGCTGCTGAGCACCCTTCAGCCAAGCAGCGAGCCCCAGCCGGACCGCAGCTCTGGCTGTGCGAAACGGGGACGGGACATCACCCTGCCGGGCGGCAAGGGAAGGCATCCTGCTGGCAGAAGGTCCGCTTCCTGCTCCTCCTCTTTCGGTTGTAGCTTTAGCCGGCTGCCTCTCTGGGCGAAGCAGAAGCTCAGCGCGGTGAGTTAGGAAAAAAGAATAAGAGGCGGCGGGGTCGGCTGAGCCGGGGAATCCCCCGCAATCTCGGCCGCCGGTGGGGTCCGCAGCGGCGGGCAGGGGACTCGGAAAGCAGGTCGCGCTCGCTCGAGTTTTCCGGAAGGGGGAAGATTGGCTTCTGGCGGGCCTTCCGAGCAGCCTTTTCTGACCTCAAGTAGTAGTAGTAGCACGTCGCCCGGGGTCTTCCACTCCGCCGCCTTCAAACCTGGGGGCGGAGATGGGGCTGCGGAATGACAGAGTCGCCCCCGAGA